TATTGACCAATCCTCCAGTTCACCAATCTTCTCTTCTTATCTTCAAAATCTACTATCAAACACATCTAATAAATTCTTAACTTTAAATATAAGTTTCAGTTCTAAAATTTAACTTGTTTCTACAGATCCCAACTTAAAGAGTGTAAATTCTTAATCTTTCAATATATTATCTCCAATTTTCCCATGATTTTCTTCAACATATTGTTTTTCTTAAAATCCTTATTATAATTAAAAATAATAATAATACCTGAATCATATGTTAGTCTGTCTCAATCCTCAATTATCCATTCTTTTCTTCACTTTTAGTAATGAGGTTCTCTCTTTAGCATGTGTAAGAATATTCCATTACCTGGTGTTATACACAAAAATAAACTGTAAAGATCTAAGCAATGCCATCTTTCTCTTGAGATGTTTTTCTTTCCTTTCTTTTTCTTTTCGACTGTACAGATAAAGCAATGTCTGATCAGCTTATTTCAAGCAAGGACTGTGCTGAGTTGAACCTGGATTTTAGCCCTGGTAATGTTTACTGTTGTTTGCCCCATCTCAATCTTCAGGTTTCTCAATTGTAAGTATAGCTCATTCTGCACATCTTGTTTACTATCGACAATGCCTATTTTGCAACACTATTTTTTTTACTCTGTTTTTTAGTCTTTTAATTTATATGTTGGGCCTTACACAAAATCCACCAAATGCTCTTAGAAGAAAATTACCCATGTGCTTTAGGTCTTCTTCCACAAAGCCATGTAAATTTATACATATTCCAGAAATACATTTCTATGTGTTCAAAGCCTGGATCCTTAGCCTCCTGCCCCAAACAGAATCTGCAAATGCCCCCAGGATATGGCATCTTTAAAGGGTCAGCTCATCTCTTTGGGACATTTAACTTTCCAAAGTATCATTACGTCAGCAGACCTTTACGGTTTTTGACTTTTTGACATCTGAAGTTCATTATACACACATGCACAAACACTGTATTTTTAAAAACCTATTTTGTGCCTCACCCAGATCAATCTATAAAGGTTTCTGTAACACCCCTCCCACCCCCAACATGATGCAGGATGTCTCCCTATCCTTACAGTGAATGACAGGTTTTATCTTCTTTCTGTCTTATATTTGCAAGACAGCAATTTTAGTCCCCAAAGCTTAAATAAACCACATTTCTACATGACTTTGTGATATATCAACTTTTTAAAATAAATATTTATATCTAAATCACTGAAACAGCTATTCAAATTATTCAAAAACAGCAGCTTTCTCGAAGTAGTTATTAAATGTGCTCATTATGAAACATATATATCACTAGGTATAATTAATTGCTTTAGGTTGTGTTTAACTAGATAAGTTTCTGATAATATAATCAAGCCTAAAGAATACATACCTGAATTCAAGGGGTAAAAACAAATTGGGTGTTTTAAGTGTAAAATAATCCCTTGGTTATTCCTTCATGCTTTGTAAATTTATTGCTTCCTTTCTAAAGAATGGTGCATCATACACTAATGGTGTCCCATAAATTACAAAAGTAGAAGCTGAGTTCTCAAAATAGTTATATGAAGAAAGTGTTAGTATATAATTTCAGTCTAAGAGCAATTTACAATTCTGTCACATCCAATACAGTACAGGATTTTACAGATACAGAAGACCACTACATTTTTTCCTGTGTGTTGCTATTAAAAAATTATTTAATAAATTTCACATCCCAGGTGATGAACCTAATGGGTAAATTACCACCTTATACATGTTTTCCTTCTAACTACTATGCACTTTGAAGTTAAAATTTACTACAGAGCAAATAGCAGATCTCTCTGCAAAATAACTCCGTTCAGTTGATAGCTGGAATTAGTTACAATTTCTTTCTAGTTGACATGTGAGCAACAAAATTAATCACAACTGTCCAAAAATAAAAACCACAAAAGAAAATAAAACTATTTACATGAGGAATTCTAAAACCTATTAATTCAATAGACATGGAATGCTCAAAGGCAACTGCCTACAAAGTTAGCAGATACTTTTGAGTTACAAACTAATGTGAACTATGTTTCCTTAACAGGAGATCTATTAAAATATCAACCATAAAGGTAACACACTACATGATGCAGTAGGATGTTTACTTATAACACTAATATCTAAGTTATTAATGTAAACAATGTGGAAATAAGTATCATACAATGTGTATGTTTATTCGTTGCTATCATTTGTATACTACGTTCCCATTAATTTAACTGAGATATAATATTTTAAAGCAGTTTCTCTGATGGGTTAGTTTTATTTTTCCTTAAATGTTATGAGGATAATAATTAAAATATATTCATAGATACTTTAATAATGTTTTATTTTCACAGATTTTTCAATGGAGAAAATATGTTAACTACACAGCTACGTGTACAAAGAAAACTGAAGATCAAACAGGTCAGTCCTGTGTATCATATTATTGTAATTAAGCCATTTCATTACTGAATGTACACACTGGGTTGGTTAATGACTCTAATCTCTGTTTTGCTCATTAGTACAAGGTAAATAGTTTAGGAAAACAAAGTAAAACAAAACCAGAAAAGACACTGTGGAAAATGACCACACAACGTTCTAAACTCTAAGCGGGGGTGACCAACCTGTGGCCTGGGGACTGCATGCGGCCCAGGATGGCCATGAATGCAGCCCAACAGAAAATTGTAAAAATACTGAAAACATTATGATTCTTTTTTGTTTTCATTAGTGTCTTTGTATTTGATGTGTCGCCTAAGACTACTATTCTTCTTCCAGTGTGGCCCAAAGATGGGCCACAAAGGTTGCACACCCCTGCGACAGGTAATTAAAGATTGCCTTAATATTCTTGCCAATATTCATTATGAAGGATTTATGATTTACAAAATATTTTATGAAAATAAACATTTCTTTTACATATATATGACAACAGACTTTCTTACCTGATTCAGTTTCTTCTATTTCTCCCCCAGCCTCCAAAAAACTGACCCATTCATATGGCCAAACTATTTTATTTTTTAGTGGGATTGAGAAAAAATTGTTTATATTCTGTAATCTAAGTATTATCAGCAGTTTCTGGAGTCCAATTTTGAGTTTTCATAGACCTGCACATTTTTCAATCACCACTGCTTCTTCCTGTCACTGTGTTACTTGAAGAATGTGAGGCAGTTGCAGAAGCTAAAGAATTAAATGGTGTAAATACGCCTTTCTCAAACCCTTTGAGTAGAAAAGGAAGGAAAAACCTGATACAGATAACTATTATAACTTTGCCCTTTATGAGTTTTTTAAGATTATTTGTTAAAAATATTAAATTTTCATGTGCTCTGCAGAGCCTAGCATTGGTTTATAAGATGAAAAGAAAAGAAATATTATTAACTGCTGCTTTGCCAAGGGATAGTCATTACCTGCCTATGTGCATTAGAAGAATTTTTAGTCATTTGGGTTGCAACTGTCTTAAACCGTAATGTTTTAGGATGTACCCTCGCTGTGGTTTCTGTGCCCATGTCCAAGGTCATGAGATCACAAGCTTTATTTTGTGCCTGCAGCTATCACGTGGAGCAGGGAACACAATTACTGAACATTTGTGCAGGCTGCTAGCTCAAATCTCTCTCTCTTTCTCCTTCTCTCTCCTTTTATATTAAACAAACTGATCTGCTAGATCATTTTACTCAGCCAATATGCCTGAATAAATGCCTTCCAATTTTTGAGGTGATTATTTAAAATTAAAAACATCATTAAAAGTCATTCTAGTGTAGAATTTCATTGAATGCAGTAGATTATAGAGCAGCGGAGATGTATAAGATTGGGTAATGAATTCAAGTCCTTGGAAAGTGTGTATTCCTTTTCTGGCACAGACACAGCAGCAGTCCTGTCTGTCCTTCCTAGAGCCACCTGAACAATTCCTTTTCATTGGTCACAGCATCGTTGGAAAGGACTGCCTGCCGCCCAGAGTGTGGAGGACAATGCACTACAAGAATCACAGAAATGCTTCTATCAGGTCAGATAAGCACCCCTGAAGATGCTCCGAGTGCTTTATAAAACTCTGTACGCTAGGTTATCAATGTGTGTTACTAATACACCCATCACCCACCCTGCAAAATAGAAAGTCCTGCAAAGGCAATTCCTGGTGACTTTACAGCTCATTTTTCCCCCCTTTTAAAGCAGGTTATCTTCTCTGGGTTTTTAAAATGTCAACATCTCTGCAGGGTCTTCCTGCTCCAGCAAAGGACAGGTGAAAGAACATTTTACAATTTGTTTTTTTAAAGTTAATATGAAGAAGTACAAGCTTGCAATCCTCTCATGCATCTCAAGAAATATACACTACTACTTTGAATGGATTAGCTCATTCTACTTACTTGGTGTTAATTGCATTCCAAAAGAAGAAGGATGCTGGTTTTAGAGATCACATTATTTAAACAGTAAAGGCATTCATGAAGGAAATGGAATAGTGACACACATACTCAAAAACAAGCATACACACACTCACATGAGGACAGCACAAAATAAACTTAATGAAAAAGCAAGTATGATAAATCTTCTATAGATTTTTTTTAGAATAAACTGTTTATTCATTTATATAATAAAGTACATACCTTTGGTAACAATTTTACTTAACCAAAATCCATTAATTGTTCAAATTACTGCATTGCTATTTGGACCCAACAGGAATATCTTTAGAAGAGTAATAAAGTAAGTAACTTAAACTTCAAGGTTTTTTCTCTAAACATTTCCCACTCTGCTTCAGATATCTCTAATCAGTCAATGTTTTAGAAGTCTACAGCATGATCACTATAATAATCAATATTTCACATTCATTTTGCTTAAAAATGAAAATACATTTTTGTGACACACTGAAACATTTCTTGATGATAGAAATGCAGAGATATACACCAGGACACCTTTCAATTTACCTTCTTTCAAAGTACATGTAAGTAACAAAAAAAGGGTGAAACTCTGCCTTACTTTGGAAAAGGTTTATTAACACACTACTGAGGACTCAGGCAAATCAGATAGCAAATTACCTTTGAGAGGTCCCCCGCCTCCAAATAGAAGCAGATAACAAACACATTCCATGTAACCCAGAGGACTAGCCAAACAGCATACTGTAGAGAAGCAAGAGAGAAAAAAAACATAATTAGTTTTGAATCAGCTGAGTAAGATTTAAATAGAATTTGAACTTTTGAACACTCTAATCTTAAGATTAGTGGAAATATTGCTTCTTTCTAGGGAACAGAATGCGATTTATATTTATCTCTTGATATTTTTCTCACTGTATGGACTCACAGTATTATAGCTCAAATTTGCTGAAGAATAATTTTCAGATTTTTAGAGAAATAGTAGCCTACATTCTGTTTTAAGGGGCAATGATTATGACTTCCAGATATCTAAAAAATGGGATGCTCCAAGAGAAGTATCAAATACAACCCATCAAAGGGAACTCCTATCTTTCTTTAGCAAAATCAAACCATGTATAACATACAACTTTTCTCTAAATTATTTGGGGTCATCCTCAAACAGTTCTATTTCTGTCCCATCTAATCAGCTCTCTCTTCTTGTCATTTCCCTCTTCACCATCTTATTTTATCTTCTAACAGTCTCCGATTACAGTGACCTCTAGCTATTACCTTAATTTTATTCTGTTTCCTATTTATTGTGCCTTCTTCACTATTACTTTTTCTTACTAAGACATTGTTCTGACCAGTTAGTCAACTAAAATTGTTTAAGCATCTAGAAAGCAACACATTAGAAAGATATTGAGGATATAAAGACCAATAATAAATTCCCCCTGAAATTAAGTCAAGTTGTGAAGGCAGATAAAAAAGATGATTATTATATAAAAATCATACAAAAATAGTTTGAGTACAAGCAAGGAAGATGGGAGACATGTATAACATTCTGAGAAAGCTTAACAGAAGAGGTGCAACACCTTCCACAAGAGGTGAATCAAGTGAACTTACGAGTTTTACCAAATAAAAATGTGGGGAGGGGGTTGGAAGGACTCTGACGGAAGGCTACTGTAAACAAAGAATACAGTTGATGTGAATTTCAAAAAGTGGAACAAAAGGATATCAAGTCATTTATCTGATAAATGAACACCAATGGCTCCCATTCTTTATATAATCAGTTCTAAAATCTTTATTTTGTAGTTCAAGGACCTCTGTGATCTTGTACCATGTTATATTTTTCAAACACATTTGATTTAACCTCTCAAGTCATCATGGCTTTAAAATGTATTGGATTACTTGCTGTTCCATGTACATGGAAAGCTATTTGCTACCGCTGTGCCTTTGTATTTATTATTCCTTTATGCTTCAACAATTTTTTTTATCCCCTAGGTACTTTTCTTAACACCTATCAATATTTTTTATTTTTCTTCAAAGGTCAATTTAAATATAGCTTCCTGAATTATATCCAATTGGAATTGGCTTAGTTTTGCAAATCCAGTAAGATCCAGTAAGCACTCCAGTAAGATCTTGCTTGATCTGATGTCATTCCAAATGCCTTATATCTATTTGCACAAATTCACTGAGAAAAGGGATCATTTAAAAATGTAAATTTATGTCTCTAATTTGTTAACTTGCTGCTTTGTACAAAATAGGTACTAAGAAAATATTTTGTAAGTCAATGACTGAATGAGGAGTAACATGGAAAAAATCTTGGAGTTTTCAAATTGCAGAACCTCTTTTCCCCTCTCAGGCCTGGTTTTTATGTGTATACTGGGATTACTCATGTAGTTTGTGGACTGAGAGGCCTATGTGATGAGCTGATGTAATAAATAATAATGACTCAGCTGATTTCCAGGTGATGGGTTCATTTAACTGCTGTACAATTGCAATGCTCAGTGAGACTAAAGTAAGGGCAAAACTAAATGGTCCAAGACAAAAGAAGAGATGTGAGAGGCTTTTTGAGTTGAGGGCTGGGGACTAGAAATCAGGAAGCTGCTGGCTGCAGCAAAGATCTCAATTCTAGCACAGAGATCTCAAGAGACATCAAAGTTTGTTCAGCATCAGGAAGTATAAATTCATTTTACAAAATTTTTTTTTTAAAACTAAAATCTAAACTTATTCAACTGTCTTGAAGATATGGATTTTAGCTTAGAAATATAGTGAATTACTGGGTCCTACTTTAAGGATAAGAAGGCTAAATAAAAAAAGTGCCTAGAGGTCCCTGTGACTTGGTTCAAGTGACTAAGAAAAAAAATAAATAAAAGAATGACTGAACAAAATGTTCTATCATGTTTTTTGTTCATGATGACATACTTTCCCCACCTTACTGATAGCAGACACCTAAATAGGCACTATTTACTAAAAGCCAAAAAACAGGATAAGCAAAATATTGATGAGTTGATGAAACACACTGTACTATATATACCAAATTGTTCTGAAATTTTTTCATTGGTAAGGACACTTATGGATGAGGTAAAAGAATGTCAATGCTGGAGCTTTTCTATTTTGCAACTCAAATTATATTTTAAGTTAATTAAATGTTGAAAATATAAAGAATCTGGAAACTTCATTCAGATTAATTTAGACATCACTTACACTTAGTAACTTAGTTTTATATGTAAGTGTAAATTATACTTAGGAAATCAACCCCAAAAATTATGTCTTTGACATCAAAATTAATATTTTTAATGGATGGATAGAGAAGATAATGGGCCAAATGCAAATAAATAGCATATAGAGATTAAGAACTTGAGACTTAAAGTTTAGTTTTCTTGCTTAAGAGCTCTAAGGCTATTTCAAGTCATATTATTTCCCTACACTGCAGTTTGCTCAAATGTGAAGTAGTCTTAGCAACAGAAGTAAATTCACATGGGTTTATATGAGAATCGAATGATAAACTGTTTAAAATAGTCAATGCATGAGTTCTCACTACAGGTTGCCATTTTATTAGACTATATCATCTCATCTCCTTCTGTAAATAATACAACAATGATGCCCAAATTTTTATCTACCTAGGATATTAAAGAATACACATTCTACATAAACTTACAGAAAACATTCTTCCATTAATTACACTTGGCAATCTACACTTGTTTCCTTTGTTTCTCTAATGCAACATATATTTTCCCTAGAATAAGTTCTCCTTTCTGACACACATTAATGCCAGTAACGAAAATGGCATTTTATAAATCAAACCTTTTTCATTTTGTTTCATTAAATGGTAATTTATTATTCCTGATTTACCATGCTATAAAATTATAAAGCATCATCTATATCATATTTTATGAGTTGCTTTTTTATAGTAATAACTAGTAATAGTTTTGTTCACCTTTTTTATCCCTTGTCTTTCAGAGTGGCCCAGAAGGATGTTTTCATTTTATTGTAGACTTCATGACCAACCAGTTAGCTCACATGCACTCTTTCTCATTAAAGATTTGTAGAGATGTCACGGTTAGGTGTGCAGCAATGCTAATAAACACAGAAACCCACACACTGCTATAGAGGGTAATCCTTCATTTGTATCATTATACAAAGGCAGGGCTTTATCTAATTTCACTTTATGTCATTTAACTTTACTCATTAACTTCCATGTAGCCTCTTATGCTGTCTTTCTTCATTTCCTATTTTTTATTATTCTTTCTCATTCTTGCTTTTCTCATTTTAGTAACTAGCACTTATCTAAATCAAATTCCCTTTAACTAGGTTTTACTTAAATATCACCTAAACACTGATGATTTTGCATTCCCTTGTAATTTAGCCTATGAATGATTTTTGTTAATAAACCCTATTGTTCACTCTGCTCAAGAAATTACTCATCATAGTTATTTAAGATTGTAAAGATGTGTACTAACTTCTTCCAAGTTGCCACAGCTAGTTGATGAGATATAATTGACAACGGCTCAGTCTGAGTGTAATTGAAAATGATGTACTGCCTGGGAGAGATGACCTAACAGGATAACAAAATCTCAAGCTTTCCAGACAGCACCTAACTCATAGTTTCTGCTATAAAACTAATTTTTCTTTAGCCTCATCTTTTCTTGTGAAAAATATCTTGTATTTTATGTTTCAGGTAAAAACAATGAGACATCTGTAATGATAGAGAAATCCTACTGTATGATAAAATTCATTCTTTAAGGGTTGATTTATGCAGGTCTAAGTGGGCCATTTAAGAAGCTGATTTAACTTGTGTCTCCAGCTAAATGGTTAACATTATGAACTGAAAAAGGTAATTGAAAATTGAATCATCATGGGTTCCATATTGTATTTGTGGCTGTAATGATGGAATCAAATTAGCTGTGTAAGATAAAAATTAGTTAAGGTTGTCAATCATGATAGGCCAAAATATTGGCCAGATCCAGAGCCACAGTGATATTACATGTCATGGTTCCATAACTAGAATTATGGCTCAAAAGGCTGATAAACATCTGGTTGGAAGATAATGTCATACCTTAACACTTCCAGTGTTTTTCTGCTTCTTTCTGTTAAATAAAGCTGCCTAAAAGTGAGTGTACACACACACACACACACACACACACACTTCCAAATATATATATATGTATATATATATAAATAAATAAAATAAAGTACAGTTAACATATACAAAGCACAAAAATCTTAACATCAGCTTTTCAGGTTCTCATATACACATACACACAGATACAAGTTTTTCATTTTATTCAAATTACATTCAATTCATAAATTAATTTGGGGGAAAATTCCAATCTTTATGGCATTATCTGAATTGTATTAGTGATTTTCTCTTAAACACCACTACAGTTTAGAAAACTATTTTTCAATAATATTACCATAATGCTTGGAAGATGAAAAAAGGTAGTACAATTCAAACACTGGCCACATGATTCCATAAGAGCTTAATTAGAAAAGGAGTTGGGCCAGTGAGCCAGTTCACATTTATTACGAACTAGTAGAATGCAAGTAACCATAACAGATGCTACAGAAAAACATTACAAGATATAACTAACTCACTTGTTCCCTAAAATGATTTATGTTTATCATTGATACGCATTCAATGGAGTCTATGGAAATGTGTTCAGGAATGATTTTTTAGCTAGGGAGGAACAGTGGTATCAGCTCACCAATATCACTGATATGCTTTTAATATAAAAATACTGTAATCAATTCTAACAACTCAGATT